TTGAGGAAATCCGAGGCCCTTGAAACCCTTGGAATATTTGGAAGGCCGAGGAGCTATCTACCTCAATGAAGCATATTTTAAAACTTAATGACCATCCTTCACAATTCAAAATCCATACACACACAATCACAAGGTTCACAATGAGATTTAAAATCTAAATAAAATTAAGATTAGGGTTTTGGCCACATTTTGGCATGGCTTCGCCCTTCATCCAAAAGGAGAGAGAGAGAGAGAGAGGGCTTAGAAAACCAAGCATTTCTTATACAATTGAATGGATGCTCGTAGAAAGGTGGCTACATCTCCATCCTTGATTTTTAAGATCCTTAATCTAGATCTACGGCCTTCATTCATCCAAGAGCCAATCTCGTTACCAAGGCTGATGGCTCTTGTAAGTAGTCAAGAAATTTTTTTTTTGGTAAATCTAAATTCACCATTGTCTTTAAAACACCTTTTTAAGCTTAGATCGACAACTCACATGCCTCAATCCATGCTCAATTATAATTTTCATGGAAGTTTTTACTTACAAGGATCTTGACAATTTTTTAGTAAAATTCTTCAAAATGAAAATTTCATTGCTTCACTTGTATTTTGAAGGAGGGGATGCTGATCTTGTTTTCTTCACTCCATGGGGTAAATCCGGTGCCACCATTGCATTAAAAAGACTCCCATTAATTAAAAGAACCTCCATGCCACTTGAATTTGTCGAATTTGGAGGAAAACTCAAAATTATCATTACTAATTTTACTAAATCTTTTAGAGAATTATAATTCCAACTCCTAAATCATGTGAATGATTATAGGTGCACTCATAGGCTTTTATTCAACCCTCATAGTAATGACTAACAACCTCTAAATTATTAAACTAACTAAGTTGCTATTCTAATTTTCTAACTCTTATCACTTTAGTCCTAATTAATCTAATTCAAGAAATTAGGCTATAATTTATACCATCAAGGGTTGTAATCCTAAAATTTCTATAAAACTAAATTCTACTTATATAAATTCTAATCTAACATGCTCAATTATCGTAAAATAAGAAAATAACAAATATATAGATTCTAGAGTATAACTGAGAGCTCACAGTGCCACATCTATAGTTTTTATTTTTATTTTAGTGATAGATAATACTTATAAATCCACAAATGAAGTTAAAAGAGGTTATCTATAAATTCTACTATTAAGTGAATATTTTTACAAAGAAAAGTAATTTAATCTTTTCAAAGAAATAAAAAATATTAGAAAACAAATATGTTAATTTAAAGGTGGATAATTTGTAAGCTTTAATAGCACAAAAAAATTATTAAGAGGTAGAATAATCTATTTACTTCTTAATCAAAAAAGTATAAAAAAATAATGTTCTTATAAAATTGGCAAGAATATGTATCACAACAAAATTCTATGAAGATAATATGGTTATATATTATTAAATAAAGAATAAATTAAAAAATAAAAAATATTTTTAGATAAAAAAATTAGAATTATTATTTCCAAACACAAAGAAATTAGAAAGTCTTGAACTAAGACTACAATTCAATAAAGGTGTTGATAAGAACAAAGTTGGCTTTTTCTTTGTCTCTACATACATTAATTACATAAAGTACCATTCAATTGCTAAGACAAGTAGCCAACATGTAGCTAACATTTTTTTTTCTTATTTCTAATTATATCTATTTTAATTCTATTTACTAAAATAATATATGTATTTATTTTATTAAATATAAAAAATATTTTATACATAATATATATATATATATATATATATATATATATTCTTTTCAAATTTTAATACTAATAAAAAGATATATGTACATTCTTTGTATGCTTTTGTATAATTGCAAATTTTAAAAAATTAGTTGTATATCAAAAACATCCCTTAATATTTTTAAAAAAATTAAAAAAACTAACATAAAAATATATTATAAATTTTTATTAATTCTATTTTATAAAATAAAAGAAATAAAAAATTTATATGTTGATTAAAAATATACAAATCTTATTTATTTTTATAAAGTTATTTTTTAAAAATATTTTTTTATTCAAAGCTTAGTTGTTTTGATTTCAAACGATTTATTGATTTTAAATTATAGTTGTTTATTTCATATATTCTCATCCTTAGCTTTAAATTTGATCATAATAAAATAAAATAGACAAATCAGCTTTTGAAGAAACATCTTTATTTTGAGATAAATTACCAATAGAACAATTCAACAAATTTCTTTTAATTGATTGTATTTAAGTGTATTGCTATGCATTTTGTGACCATACTTATTGATTTATGTATCTATCATAGACAAGATAGTATGGTAAGTCTCATAGAAGAAATACAAGAAACATACATGTTGTTTTATAATTTTAAGAATTAAGCATAACATAACAAATTTGTAGTTAGAAATAGCAAGGTATTATAATAAATTCAATTGTAGCATTATAGTAGAAACAATGCAAACTAATATGCTGCAAATGCACTAAATTAAGTGATTAAATCATGTTCCACATTCTCATATCTATACAAAATTAACAAAAATATGACATTTAAAACTAGAAAGGTTAATAACGAGCATCAAGTTCCACTTACTCTTTGCTATCTATTTCACATGGTTTGTTTATTAGTTGCCTAGCTTTCAACTATTTGAGTATGGTTTTATGGCTTTGGAGACAAGGTGGACAAGAGCAAATATTGAAAAAATGCAATATGAGTTTTATAAATGATTTTTTTGTATACAACTTCTATTGTCTCATCAAAATCCCCTTACAATAAAAATTACCTCAACATTTGATGTTCTAGAAAGTTGGTCGACAATTAAATGCATGTTTTGTTCTACAACATGATCAAAAATTACATCTATGTCTAAACTAGTAAGCTCTAGCTTGTTATATGTATTGAAAGATAGAAGTTTTACTTTGTAATTATCTAAGGTTTTACTTATCTATTCCTGGACCATAAGATTTATTATGCCATCATCTAATTCCGCTACAAAGAACATATTTCTAATCCTAAGTTTCAATTGAGACATATTTTTGTGTTGATAACATAAAAGCTATATCCAATCTAAGTACAATGCTTAGAAGATCAAAACTCCCTAATAATGATTGAGTAATTTGGATGAGTCTTGCTTGAGCGCCATGTACAATTTTATTTGCTTCTTGGCATGGTCATCCTATATCAATTGCACTGTTATACATCACTATTTTTTTATAGTTAGATTATTTCTAATTTTAATAAAAATATGATATAAGATGCTTGCACCAATCTCTTAAAGATAGTCAGAAATGACTTTTGTAACATTATAGCCTATGAAAGATATATAACTAATGAAGATTTAGAATATTTACTTGCCAAATTAAGTTTATACTTCACCATATTACCAACAAAAGAGAGCTCCATTGATAATCTCTGCCATTCTTATTAGAGATTGTTTACATCCTTCAAGTATTTATAAAGTGCTGAAAAACCCCATGGCTTCTCTTGCACGATTGCTCTATTATTTAGCATGTAATACATCTTTAACAATATCTTGTGGATTGGCATTTCAGCCCTTTGTTAATAATAATTGGTAGATATTTTGTCTAGATTAGATTTGTGGGCATATGTATACCTTGAGAAAGTTATTCTAAAATTTAGTCCTACTACTATTCTTGCTTCAACTAGTATTTATTTAAACATTTTAGATTGCTTTTCTATACCTTCTTGATAAAACTTGATACAAATTCACAACCATCTTTTCTAATCTCTATACCATACTATAAGATCCAATTGGCTGCTAAATTGTGATTTTTGATTGTAGAGACCATGTAATTGCAGTGATCAATTTTCAAAATTTTAAAATGCATATTAAAGCATTTATACAATTACTTTTGATGGAATTAATTTAACATGCAGTACTTCCAATCCAACTTGTCCATTCACTTTCAACATGTTGTCACCGTTAAAACCATAATTTTATATTAGAGTATACCTTATCTCCATCTAATTTTTATAATAAGAATAAAAACTTGATTTGGATATGATTTAAGAGCATCTTAAGATCCTTTCAAATCCCCATATAAATTTTAACATAAAACACAAACTTCACATTTACATGTGCATGCATATATCTACATATTTAGATGATCTATGTATATATGTATCATTTAAACATGATTAAAGTATGTAGTATTGTAGTTATTTGTGATATATATATATATATAGATGGTGATTATATGGAATAGTTTTTTTTTTTTTTACTAAGCTAATGAATCTGCATAAAATTCATTTGAAGATTCAACTTGTATAATAGAAAATAAGATTAATACTTTGCAAGTACAATTATTTATTTATTTATATATTTTTGAAATAAAATTCTTTATAATCATCAAAAAAATTATGTGTATAATTATCAAAAAAATATCAAGATCTTTGGTAAAATAAAAAAAACTATATAAGCAATATATATATATATATATATATATATATATTAATAATTTTAAAACAAAATAATTTGCAACTTCTAAATAGCTTTTGTATTTGAAAATAATAATACTCAACCTTCTTTTTATGAAAATCAAACTTTGATATTATATATATTAGATGTTATTATAATAAAAGATATAAATCAATAATAATTCTTTTTGAAATTTAAGATAGTCATATAAAACTAAAAAAAATAAAAATAAAAATTATATTAACAAATACTAAGAAATCAAAGATCTTTAGATTTCTCTATTGATGCACTAATCAAAGCAAAATTATCTTTGATGATAAAACCACTACAACAACAACAACAACGTGGTAAATACAATACAATGCTAAGTGAATATAGTAGAACTATGGGTGGAAATATCAAACTCGTAAAACTCCACCATGTAAAATTTATCAAATGTTAAGAAAATTAGGGTTTGAAGACAATAACCCCGATTGCCAAAGCTATGACCAAGCACATCAACCGGTCCAGATTTTGCATTGGGAGTGCCACGTGGTCTGAAAGAGCAGACCACCAAGTGGCACATAGCATGTGAAAAGGCCCGCAACGCAACTCAACGTTACCCAATTCTACGCTCCGTTCCGCATCGCCTTGATGATAAGACTTGATTGAACCCTTGGGATTCAAGCCACTGATGCGTCACGGATTTGGTTAACTCAGTTGCTGCGTCCGGTTCGACTCTTGATACAACGCTAACACTGATAGTGTTCCTCGTGGCATTGCTTGTTGTGCAAAAATGTACTCGTTCGTAGTTGGATTGCGAGTTTCTGATTGATGTGAGTACGTCTTGGAAGTTGAGGCTTACTTTGCAAGCGGTTTTTGAAGCAGGCTCTGTCGAATTCCATCCAAGAGATCACTTGCCTCAAGGTTTTTTGGAAATGGTCACCCATGGATGCGGTGCATCCATACCCGACGATGTGCCAGGCGGTGCTAAGACTCTTACTTCGAAAGTTGTGGATGCAGGAGCTGGGATTCTGCAGAAGCTGAAGCCGATTCAAGCGTTTCAGCAAGTGGGCTCCTGGTTTGCTTTTTTGTCTCTTACATGAGTTCGATTCGTTGATACAATTCTTTGAAATTTTCCTACTAATGGCTAGCTTCATGTGTCATAGCAATTGGTTGTGGGAGTCGTGCAACGCTGCTGTATTAGCTAGAAAGCTCTGTTCAAGCTTTGAAAAATGTTGATTCCTAGGACTGTTGCAGAATTTTGATTGGCGTTCATGCACTTGTGCTGATGTTAATTCCTTTTCTAATCACATTCGGGACGGTTGTGGTTACCTCGAGCAGCACATCTGCACATGGGCGATCTTCTCGCAGAACATGAAACGCAAAATCGAGACGCACCACTACGCTGCCCGTCTCAACGACGATTTTTTGCAATGCGCTGTTTACGATTCCGATCAGGCTAATGCTCGTTTGATTGGTAATAATTTCAACTCTTACTTCCCAAAACAACTTAGTATCCACACTATTTTTTCGAAGTTCCCTTCGTTTCCTGTCGTTCGCTTAGGTCCACTCCACTGGATCCAGAGATCAGTTTCGTTGAACAATTCATATTGGTTTGAGGATTCTAGCCTACTAGGGATGTTAGTCAATTTGTTTCTGGCTTGTGTACATTAATTAATTAATGTTTTTACATGACATTCTTCTCGATGAACCGGACATTATTGTTGAATAAAATGCAGGAGTGGAGTACGTCATCTCGGAAAAGGTTTTCAAGACATTCCCACAGGAGGAGAAGCAGCTATGGCACTCTCATGCATTTGAAGTAAGTAGCTTCTTTCCAATTTGAAAAATAGGCATAACAGTATCCATGCCGCTGTTCTCGATGAACCATGATATATAAACCCTCTGGAAACTGAAACTTCTGGTCAACTCGTCGTTAGAAGCAGTGATGTGAAGTAAATTTCATGTACTGTTAGCCAGCAGTTGACACGAGGGCAGCTGTGACAATAGATCAAGGAAGGCCTATGGGTGAATCCAGGCGTGCCGGAAGTGATACAGAAGCAGGAACTCAAGGGTTTGGCAAGCACCTATGGGAAATTCTGGTGCACATGGCAATTCGACCAAGGTAGGCATGGTTTACAAGATTCCTCACCCCAAAACGAAGCTATGATCCAACCATAAGATCAGCATCCTTGAGTGCTGTCTGCTTGGCCAGAGCAGCATGTAACTGACGACGCTGTGTGCAAACAGGTGACGTGCTGCCCATGGGGCCGCCCTCGCTGATGATGTCTCCCCAGAAAGAGGACCCAGGTCGAATCCCCGACCCAAGTATACAGAAGCGAGATGCTTACTATGGCATTTCGACTCCGAATATGTCAAAGTCTCGCGCTGACATCAAAGATCCGGAATCTTTAGACCCCAACGCCGATCGCTGGAGACAAACTGGCAAAGGCTGGCACGTGAAGCTGGTGGACGTGCTCATGGCTCTCGGGTAAGCTTCCCATGCTCACCACCCACCTCTCCAGCGGAGCTCTTTCGATTTACTGCGACGTGAACGAGCAGCTCGACCTCTGCGACACGCTCTGTACAAAACCCACCTCGCAGATAGCGGAGCTTCACGCGCAGCTGTGAGATTGCAAGCGAAGCTGCAATGCCTTACCTTGGCCTTGCGTTCTGGTCTGTGAAGGTAAGGTTCGAAATTAGGGTTTCAGTCCTCATGGCGCAATTCGTCACGTTTGTACAATTTTCCTCTTGTAATTCGGCGATGCACGCTTGATCAGCATTTGTTGCCATGAATTGCAATGAAATGTATGTACGTGTGAAATAAAGGATGGTTTATTTTTTTGTGGAATTGTAACCTTGTGCCACTTTTTTTTTACTTTCAAAATTCCGTATACTTTTGGAAAATCAAATTTTGTGTATTTCGATATAAAACACACCACCTCTTCTACCACTACCTTTCAAAGCTTTGTAATTTTAATTCATCTAGTAATCTTTGAATGCAAAAGTTTTATATTGATTTAAAATAAAACAATTATTAAATTTATTTGTAAACTTGAATATATTAAGGGGAATGTAAAATAGACCTATATTTTTACTGAATAGATTTACCTTTGATGAAGAATATGGTAATCATAATTAATATGGTTGTGCTTTATTAGTTGCAAATTCAAAAGAGGGATGAATGTAGAAGTCTCTTTCTTTCCTTCTTTGTCTTTTTTTTTTTTTTCATCATGCTGGTTTAGTAAAAACTTGGATCTATTTAACATTATTTAACATTTTAGGGAATATTAAATCAGCTGGTCTAAATTTGATTCACCTTATGATTTCTAAATAATAATTCTGACAATTGTCATGCACCTAATCTTTGCCATGGTTGTCTTACTTTTTTATATCTTCAACTATGATTTGAAAATGACTAATATATTTAGAAAATTATTAAACTTCAAAACTTTGGTTTAAGGATGTAGACATTTAACTACAGATCAAATGATTTTAGAATTAATAACTAGATGATTTCAAATATATTATTAAATATACAACCAATGACATGTCTTTATCTCCTAAATCCTAATAGACTATGCATGTAGATAAGATGGATAGTAATTTTGTTCTTTTAATAACATTAAGACATATGCTTTGTATGTTACTAAAAATGCATGCTAAGAAAAAATTAGCGCGTTGAGATTCTAAATGACCGTCAAGTTCGATAAAACTCCCACATGCTCCTTTTTTAACTCATTAAATGTAGAATAATTGGACAATAAGATTCACTAATTACTTCGAAACTGTGACTTATTTCTCCTGTGAACAAATTGAACCGTGAAAATTTTCTCCAGATTCTTTTTTGCTACAATTATGTTTCTTGAACGCAATTTAATATACTGTTTATAATCAAGACTTTCACTTAAGGAAAGTAAATTGCATCAAGAAAAAAAGAGTTGACTAAAAATTATACTTTTTTATTCAAGATAAAGTTATAAGGAAGGAGAGAACTTAAAACCCTCAATTTCAAATGAATGGATGACCTAGTACAACTAAACTAGTGCAAAATATGAGTTCATTTGTATTAGGTTCGTACGACATCATGCTACGTTTAAGAAAAAAACTATGAAACACAACAAGACATTCCAGACATAACCATTAGCAGTACATTAAAAGGACCCACACTAGGTTTAGAATGCCGAAGTAAACTCCCTTAGAACAGAAAATGTGCATCAATTAGAATTGTCGCTACTTTACTGAGTGCATTTCCTAGTCTACTTACAAAACTCGGGTTGGTGGCAAAAGGCATGTTTTTTATGTTTTACACACCGCGTCTCAAGGAAATAGGACGAAACCGAAACAGAGTGTTACGCTGTAAATCACTGGCAATGTCGCAAAACAGAATCTCAAATGTAACTGTAAATAGAGTAGTTAACAAGTCGAACTTGGAATTTAGACAAAACAAGTATGCTCCTACCAAGTCCAGGTAGAACAAGAGACGGCTAGTCAATCTCACCTTCGTCATTGCTATATACATCTCATAAACTTTAAACACGGGTGTCATTCATCATGTATGAGGGGGGACAAGTCAAGAGGCTCAAGTGACGATTTACATAGATATTAACTCATTTGAGAAGATAGTATGTATTTAGATCCCGTCGGATATTAAGTATTTGGACGAGGATGCAAAATTGCAAATCATCTCAAGACAGTAGGTGCCCAAAAAATATAAAGATAACCGCAAAATCTAACGTGCAGGAAAGGAAAGCTTCACAGATAAAGAGGCAAATGTACAAATACAAGAAAGAAAAGTCTGTCCGTAGAACAGAACCGCACACACAGGTTGTGAGGGATTAAACGGGAACAGTGACTAGAATGCGCGTCAATAGTTTGGGAGACAGCTTGTCGATACTTCGGAGTCGTATGTACAAAGTGAGGAGGCTGCACATTCTGCCCATTTCCAAAACGAATTGGAAAGAGAAATTATATGTATTTACGGACTGCGGACACTGAAAACCCCTTGGAACCCAACAACGGCATGTAGAACAAGATGGCTTTTATGTCTGCAATCAATGAATCCATATCGGCAGATCTCCATGAATCAGCGGGCAGCGACGAGAACCAGCGGGACTGCGATTGAAACGTCTTAGAACGTGCTAAGGTGAAGAAGACTTCGGCCAGAAATCTTCACCGCCACACTCTGGTAGACGTCTTCCTCACCTTGGGTTTCTGTGAGGCAGGTGGAGGGCTCTTCACGACGTGCCAAGTGTCAGGGATGTCTGGAAGATCCTCCTCAGCACCGGGGTGGACAAGGAATTCATCTACCAGTCCGCTTGGCTTACCCCAATCCATCTCTGCACAAAAAGTACACACCCTCAAGGAGATGGAATGAACAGTTATCATACGAACATATCTTAGCTATATCTCACGATCGACGACTATTAATTATGCTTGGAGAATTGGAACAGAACAATGAACCCTAAGGACTTTAAAGTTGTAGAAATCACGCAGTCGAGCATAGACTCCAACCTGGAAAGGGGACTTCGGGATCAATGCTCCGTGTGAATTGCTCCTCGTAAGGATCCATTTCAAGAACGCTCTTCATCTCCATACTCTGTGGATGCGAATAGCTAATATTAATAGTTGCATCATATATTGCAAACCGTGTTGATGGTCGAATGTAGCTGATCTCAACGACAGAGGTCAAGGTTACTCCGCAATGAGTGGAAAATAAAAATAAAACGCGAATCCAAATTTCAAGAATGCAGGGTTCTAAGTGAAGTACAGTACCCAAAACTCATTGAACCCACTTACCCAGGCTTTTAATTAGACAACAGTGTTCTTCAAGCTGACGAAACTGAAAATAAATATAACTTTGAAACAGCACCCTTTCATCACAAAGACTATATCAAGGACCAACACAGGGGTTCCGTCTGAACTAAAGTGAAGAGAACTAACATCATCATAATGCCTCACGAACGATGGAAGCGGCATGCGGAAGTTCCTTATTGCAGCTACTCGCTCCTCAATCTCTGTTATAAACAAAATGATCATCCAACTTCAAGTATAGCACGACTAAAATGCGGTTTAAACTTGCAACAAGTTATCCTGTCGATCATGTGTTCAATAGTGAATAATTGCTCACATAAACTAGCAACAGCGACTCTCTATTGCAGAACTTCAGGAGAGATTGTGAGCACATATTTGTCCAACTCAGTGCGCACCAGCTACTACAGAGAACTTGATTAACAATCACCATTTCAAGGATCTAGGATAAGTGAGAACCTCTATCCGCTTGCTCTTTGAGTAAAATCTCGATATCATCACCACTCTTTCCTGCAGGTAATTCTATACCTTCCTCAGCCCACTCTTGCACCAGCTTCTCCAACTCTGGATCAGCCAGGGGCTTGTTGTACTTTGACCATGGTTTCAGCTGCTCGGACTTCGGAGCTTCGGTTTTTGGCCCAGCGACCTTTGGCTTAGAGGTCTTCTACACGAGGGCACAACAAATCCCAATCACTGAGTGAAATGACGCTCAAGAAGGATGGGCATCATGGGCTGCCAATTACTTCGATCAATCCTGAGAAAAACATGTAGATATGATCAGGAGATAAAGATTACATTTGCGTACCAGCATAGCTTCTTTGGCTGAGGGGTTCCCAGGCGACGGATTGACAACGACGTTCTCATTGGTGATGTTCCGAAGTGGGACGCGAGCAGACAGTCCTTTTCTCGCTGTGGTTTGTACTGATTTAGAGGATGAGTATTCAACGTCCAGAAGGTTCGCAGAGAACTTTAAAGGAGCCCCTGCCGATTTCATCGTATTGGTAATGTTGGACAGCGTCTTCCTCTCCGAATTGCCTGTCTGCTGTTGCAGACCAGCAGTCTTGCCCATCATGGGCATGCTGGGATTACTTTGCAGCTGCATCTTACCTGCAAGTCGCAAGGCGTATGAGGATGACACAGGAATAATTTGTCACGCAGATGGTGCAAACCACAAAAACCATAAGAAACGTGGGTCAAAAAACCCACGAAAGATGGCTTGGGTACGCAAGAGATTCAGTGCTACAAACCCACGAATTCAGCACCATCGTAGTCAGCTAAGTAGTCACCAGACATTTGTTCTTTCAATCTCTTCAACCAAACTTTTGCCCAGTAAGGCCACTCTTTCCATACCCTCAAAGCACTACACTAATTAAACAAGCAGATAACCTAGGATTTCGACAAACAGGGCTTCACGGATTGATATCTCTACTTCAAACTTAAATTGGGTTAGCAACTCTATTTCTGCTCTTGGGATCTTTGCACAAAAGAATTTTCGTTAGTCATGGATTAGACTTAGGTTGCTCTTGCAAGAATACTGCATACAACAGGAAGACCAATTCTCATGAGCTATGGGCTTCCAATTCATGAAGTATCTTCACTCCTTATGCCATGGATTCCACATTATCTCATTATCGTCATCGAAAGCACATTGTTCACACATTACGAACTCCGGCATTCCAAAAGAACTTCGTTCTGTGAGAAAGGAGAGATAAATAAAATTCAGATGCAGAATCACAAGGAAGGTTGAATGACACCGAGCACAATATTCGTCAGTGACCAAACATCATGAGTTCAAGCAAGAACTACTGCAGAGAAGATTTCGTTGTACCAAAACCAACCGGCACGAAAACCCAGCACATAAATGATCGGATTCTGAAAAAAAAACGCACCAGCGAGATGTGGAACAGCAGCATTCTCATCCTGAGGCGCACGCGATCTCGCCCGCAACGCCATTCTGCTTAATCCCTCGAGCCAAACTTGAAAAACAGCTCGAGCTATCCGAATACCGCCAACTCCAGAACTTCAAACGCGCAACATTGAAAATTACGGCAATCTCTCTCTCACAGAACCATCGCTATACCGAAAAAAAACAAATCCCTTACAACGGCAGACAAATCAAGGACAGCAAAAAAAACACTCTGCAATCAAGCACCTCGAAAACAACAGCGGCAAGAGGATGACAGACTCTCTATCGGCGATGGTGAAGGCTAAGGTTTAACCTGTGACACAAATGCACACACTCGCTTGCAACAGAGCGATACCCACATGGAGATTGATTGCGAAGAGTGAAGAAGTAATAGCTGACGCAACACGAATACAGATATGGAAGAGAAATGAATTCAGTTGCCTTAACGGCTATTTTGCCCGTCTCGGCGTCTCTTTGTGGACGCCGAATGCCGCTAGTACTGCTCGATGCCGCAGTGGCACCTCGTTTGAAAAGCGCAGCAGCGGCCTCCCGCGCAAGAGAGCGTACATCCAGTATGAACGAATGTGGATAAAAAATGCCTCTCATTCAGTATAATCGTCACCTGTCAAATGTTTTTTTTTTTTTTTTTTTTTAATTGTCACACTAGATCTTTAATTCACTCGCCTATTGTTGCATTACATGCCATACCCAATGTCATGAATTAAGAAGGATTTTTCTAATCTTTTACATTTCTTTTGTCACTCATTCATTGAACAAGTTCAATCCAAGGATGATATTTTTCTGTAGCTAATTAAACTCCTGCTTCAAAATAATTACCTAGTGTAACGTTTTTAGTTCAAATTGTTACCTAGTGTAACGTTTTTAGTTCAAATTATTTTAATGAAAAACTTTAGGTAATGTTGGTGGTTTTAAATTAATTTATCTTTTAATTAATAATTTGATAGTTGGTAGCTTTTGGTACTTTAGTGTAGACTGTGATTGTTTTTTATTTTTATTTTTAATTTCTTTAAAGCAGTAATAAATCACATGTATTTTCAACATGTTCAAGTGGTTCATGTTTGTTTTTGTTCATATCTGTCTTATATTTTATATTGTTTCTTACTTTAAAACATCAGTGTAACAAATATAAAGAAACATATTTGGTGTCATATAATTTATGAGTTAATTTTCAGAATAATCTACAAAAGAGCTTTCCAACAATGCAACACCAAAAAGGAGATTGAAACCCTATGTTTCTCACACATATCCATTTTAAAATGGATGAAATTCTGCTATGGATGAAATTCAATTCGAGGATGAAGATTAGTGTACTAGTGCGAGTATTGGGAGAATTATACTATATAATATAATTCTTCTGTATAGAATACTATCTACTCTGTATTGACCTTACACCAAGAGTTGTAACTCTTGGTGTCACCCTTGTACACACAATATATTGTGTATCAATTGATCTTTTCTGAGATAATCACCACTCAACTTTCATGATGTCGGCGAAGCATAAAAGATACGAAGAGAATTGGGTACTCGCATGCGGGAAGCATCACCAGTCTTGGTCGTGGCGATGCTTCCTTTGAAGATAGCAAAGATAGTTTCTGTTTCACAAGCAGACTTGAAGGGGGGGGGGGGGGGGGGGGTCTTGTAGAAAAACAAACAGAGCCGATGTATCGAAGTGCCCTCTCACTGGGAAGATGATTTTGGAGCTCTAAATTTGCATACATGAGATCCATACAACTGCAATGGAGCAAATGAGCCTAGAAATACTATGATTGCTATCGGTGACATTACCTCCGCCAAGTTCCACATTTGGACCATTTTGGGCTATAATAAGACATTCGCCAGCAGACGCAAATCTCGCTTCATATGCTACAATCCTGCTATGAACTTCTTCACCCACATCTGACGAAAGACAAAAACAAGCTCTTTCAAGAGGACCCATCAGTCTTGGAAATTCGAAGTAGGGCGGCACAAGGCATTCAAGATCTCCCGGGATGAGAGTCCACCGCGGAGAATCGTGACGATGGGAAAAGTCTAGAGGGAGGGAAATGAGTTCCAGCTTCGGATGGATTGTAAGTGGCAGACGACTCCTGCGTACTGTCCAGGCTGGAGCATGACTTTGGGCTGCCATATCCATTAGAAAGATCTAACTCCGACATGCCGTTCGACCCCTGGCACACCACAGCTTGGCCAGAAGGCATAGGGGATGTGTTGGACGCTGGCTTGGTTTCTTCCGTTGCTTGAGCATGAAATTTAGCAGCATCAGCAGGAGTAGGTTGTCCATGCTTCGAGTTTGCTGAGGTGGAACGAGAGAGAGGGAAACCAGGCTTAAGTAAGAGCCTAGAAGCACGAGCGTGCATGGTTTCCCCTGGAAGCAAATCAGGCGATTCAGCTGGAGGAGGCGACAAGAGGGTAGCAGGCAGTTCGAAATTGGTGCGCGCCTTCGCACCACGCAACCTCCTTGCGGCGGCGTCGTACGCTCTTGCTGCGTCTTCAGCTGTATCAAACGTGCCGAGCCAATGCCTGCATTTCCCAATCTTGTCACGAATCTCCGCTGACCACCGCCCCCATGGTCGTTTCCTAACCCCTCTGTACGCTCGCCTTGTGACCAGTTCTGGTGAACCTTCACTACAGGTAGCATTCTCCATGGCGCTCCCAGACAAATATTGATGCTCTGCTTCTGGCCTTGCTTCTTCGGTTACCGCAGAAGCGTAAGCATATGGGTGGTGCCCAATGTGCGACCCAGATCCAAACCTTCCATGACCAACACGAAGATCTTCCGAATCTAATGTAGAAACTTGTGAGCTCGAGTAAACGTTCTGAAGTGCAACAGAAAATGGGCCTCGTTGGCTACTGGCCTCGGAAGTGTTGTTGGTGTAAGCTGTCTCCGCTGTGACACTACCCACAGCGCAAGACGAATTGGCAGACAGTAACTGTTGTTGCCGTTTACTCGGCGCAGGCTCACACTGTCCCACTATCACCTTCGAAGGAAAATCCAAGAAATGCCTCGAGGGGTGTAGATTGCCAAAGAGGGTGTGCTGTCCCACCACGGCACCGATCCCATAGTCATGGCTTGTGGCCACATCCTCCAGACCTGACACAAGAGAGACTGCTACCGGTAATGTTGGGGACTTCAGAAACGGCGGCTGGAGGTTTCCATACTCCAGCGATGACAACTCCAAATGATGATGCAAGTGAGAAAGCTGATGCCAGCTAGTTTCTTGATAGATCAACTGCGCCGGATTGCAGGAAACCATACTCCCTGTCGAAAGCGAGGACGAATTCTGTGGCTGGTTCCAGGTTTTCGAATCGGGGCGGCAGAAGCTTTCCTGGGCAGCAAGATTGTCTGATCGCCTCGTGTGCAGGTGAATTCCCGAAGAATCATGGTGGTCCGGATTGTCATCAGATAAGGAGGACACACACGATTTGCAAAGATAAGTGAAAGCCGGAGCTAAACAGCGCATACAAGCTCCCCCGACACTCTCCAGTTGTTCGTCCAAAATTCCTGACCGAATTTTCTCTTTCTTTACCGCTCCAGACATCAAGTTCGTATCCCACTTCCGCTTGGTATGTGCAGCGCTGCCGACCAACAAGTCATGCAACGCCATGGCTTTCACTACTACAGTACTTGGTTCTCAAATCACTGAAGCTACATTTCACGTTACGATGAACTACTGGGAAGTTACACGGTTACACTCAGAGCAGCAATCGCATCAGTAAGTGTAGGTTTGTAACACCTGACCCTTAACCATGACTCGTTGGTAGTGCAGCAGAACGACTGCAAGGGCGACTCACTAAAGAAAGCATGTCCTATCCACACAAAGGCAATAAACTGGCCACTGAAGGGTTCAGATTGAGGAGGCTCACTGAGATCGATACACTCATTACAGACCGTTGTCTCTCCAGCACCTTGCAACAACATTCAAAGAACTGCCAGAATGGCTGAATACGCCTCCAGTATTGCACAGATCAGGTTAGTTAGAATCTTCTCTCAAGGAACTCTACCAAACCTACGAGTCGTGATTTATCAGTTAGACGAGACATCGTTTGCAATGAATCTGGTAGAACAAACCATGGCCGTGGCGCAGACAAAGTTTACAAGGTCCTTCAACATCCAACTGCTATGAACTAGCCACAAGTAGATGGCACATGACCGAGTAGCTTGAGGAGCTGAGAGAGCGAGGTGGCAGGCTTTGAAGAAAAGAGTCTGATGTGGTATGTCGGGGTGCAGACAGAGAAGAGAACAGAGCTGGAATCGATTTAGCTATCGCACTACTGATCGGCCATTCCATTTGCAAAGTCTAGTGAACTTCACGCCTAGAGGAAATATTTTCTGAAGCTCATGCGTCACACACGTGAGGCATTTGCAAAACTAACTATGACATTCAGGTTCTGCAGCAAAGTAGCCTGGAAACAAAGAGCAAGCTGGTCAGGAATACGCACTGCATCCAGTAATCACTGCAGCGCTGTCAGTCTCAGGATGCGTCCTAACTCCGAAGAAGCTCGAGGGAGGATAAATCGACACCTTCCACAATTCCCAAAAGCACCATCGCAGAAGATGTCACTTGACCTGGAATACGACTGATCCTGTACCCCTGCACTACCAAGATCAGTAATTGTTCCATAAGAGGAATGTCGGTGGATCCTATCACTTCGATCAACTCCTACTGGGGTGGGTGTCGATGCCATCTCTACAACAAGCTAATCTTAACCTGGAAACCCCCTTAATTTTGACCACTTGTGGAAAGTGTCACAATTCCTGGACCACAATACGTTTCCAGAAGGAAAAATGAATAAAAATATGTACCATAATCTGTCACTCGTCAAGCGTTTCTGTATGCTCTGAATAGAATCATCTGGCTACAATCCCACCGTATCGACGGCCCTTCGTCGACCACATCGTCCCTCCGTGACAACATCGCACAAGGGTGAAAGATAAGTAAGGACCCCATTGCACACGTGTGAGGATGGCGAAAGCATAACCGCAGAAAAGCGTTGTATCCCTCCTGAAAGCAGGTCACATGTGGGTCATGCATTGTAGAATATAGCTGGCTGGAATATATATTAATGGTTCATTGCCGAATGAAGAAAGGATGCATGCATTTTGTAAATCACCAATCAAGTGCGCGACATTTCAGTTGTTGGTCAACCCCTTCCGGTCCCACTGACATTTGGTTGACAATAAAACGCGAGTTAGGTTAAACAAAGAGGATGTTGAAATGCGGTGCGTTGCGTACACGACGGCCATGAATAGTACTTGGGTTTGGGAAAATTTATGGACGGAGTCGGTGGAGTGACGCTAGTGACCTGGAATTGAGTAGAACTTTGTGCGTGCAATAATGTAGGAGAACGAGCCATGGCCTGGGCAGAAAATTACAACTGACCCAAGACGAAGTAGGCCGGTGAGGTATGGTCATTTTGTTTTTCCCTCCATGTGTTGAGCCTCGCTGCGGCGGCAACGATGGCGCCAAGTGTACTGAACCCACTAGTACTCTGGGATTTGCTTATGCCCAGAATCCCAACAGGGACGATAAAAACTAATGGGAATTCCTCACAACACTTCTGTAACCACTCGCGAATAGTTACGCACGCAAAAAATAATAAAATAAAACTGAAGCAGACGATCTCCGTCACCAAGGCGATCCATTTCGTATCAGAAGCCTTGCGTTGCTGCAGATAATCGAGAATAGAGAGTACATTCGCCGCATGCAGTGATGCTCGGAGACTCTCGCCTCAAGCACAGCCATCAAATGTTCAGTTGAAGTGACCGGAAGTTTACTACAATAGTAACAAAGTCGGCCATCGGCAGCATCAGATCTCAGGCTGCTCTTAGATTAAATCCGAATTCTCGACGACGATTAGTTGATTGAAGTGTGTGATTCGCATGGCGCTAGAGACGAGACTGCATTGCTCACGGCGTTGACGACGAAGACCACCCTGGTCGACGAAGGACGCAGAATTTGTTGACGACAAATGCCAGCTTGACTGACGAAAGTATGAAGAATTCGTCGCATGAGGTGCCAAGCTTGAGCCAAACCCAGTGACAAAATGAGTTTGAATTGTCATAAATTTGTTGTAAATACTCCAATTCATATCCACCTTGTTTTATTTTATTTTATTTCCCCCCCCCCACTTTCTATTATCAATGGTTGTAGACACAAAGGGGGGTAGGTGTGTATGTAATGAACAATTTATTGAAATTTCCAATTTTAATTTTCTAGTAGCAATATTGGGTTGTATGATGATTCTAGAAGAGGTATGTGATGCAAATATTCAACCAACATGTGAAAACAGAATTCAATCAAGTTAGATTGCTTGGATGACATGTTTAGCTTTTATCAGCAATACGACGAACTGCATTTATATGATTTGAATACTTGAAAACTTGATTGTCAGGTTTTGTTTTATACATACACATATCACAACACACTTTACTGACCAGGTGCATTTTTGTTTTAAAGTCTTTGTTTTTATTTTATTTCTCACTGTGCAAGTAGAAAAACAGTTTGTCCTGTTATTCTTTTTCTTCATTTTGACATGAGAAGAGGTCACATCTCTGTACTATAATCAATCAGGGAGAATTGGAATTCCACACCTCAAACTCTAGTTGCCAACCTTTCATAGATGCTTTTTAGTACTATCTGCCATGATCTGTTAGTTAAAAATCATTCCATACCATGTAAATTTAGACGTGTCTTTACATCTAAAACTGCATGTAAGAATAATGAATGTACATTGTTTTTTTAATGAAAATATGCATTTTGAATATGTATCAAAATAAGTCTTAAAAGAATATCAAAAAATTTAAACTCTCATAGATTAACTTTCAGAACTTATGTAGTGTTTTAAATATATCACTTGCGTGTGTGAGATTGAGTGTGCGTTTTACACATCCACGAACGCGAGAAACCACCCCACCGAGGCACTCCGGACGACAAATGGACGACGTCAGCAAGGCATGGACGAAGCATGGACGACGTCGACGAGGCAGGAGCAGCGACATGCGGCGCCGCACATTCGCGGAGGCCCCACACACACACGCGCGCGCAGAATTAGGAGAGGGCGAGGGTTAGAGAGAGACACACACGAAGACACAGAGGGAAGGAATCCTGTGCACGAAGGGACAGCATGTTCCACGCATGCGACGTCACCCACGCCCGTGACATGACCCGGGGTCTCTTCCCGTGGTCGCAGGCTTGGAGCTTCGCGCATCCAAGCATGCATGCGTCGTTTGAATCGAGGTCTGCAGCGATGGAATGCTCCCGGCGAAAAGGCTCCCTCACGCAGCCTGGGCTACCGAGAGCAGCCCCTCACTAGCATGCGGGCGGAAGTCGATGCTTCATGGCACCGTCGGGCACCGTAGATGACGAGCACTGTGCTTGGGTCTTCCCTGGGTGCCGTTCGCAACGAGAGCAAGAATCGGTGCCTTAGCTGTCTAGTAACTGATTTTAGGACGCGGGATTGTCGCTTCTGCTGCTGGGGCTTGTCGTCGTTTAATCAATTGTCATGTGCCCTCAGCGCGTTCAGGGGCGCTGTGCCACCAGTGCGTGGCAAGCCTCCCCCAGAAGCTGCGATAAAGAGTCTGAAAAGGTTGACAATTCATAGGGCAGCGCTGCAGTGAGTTTCTTATCCTTGCGCTGGCGAAAGCTGATGTGTTTTTAATAAGGACATGCCTTGTGTACAAGATGAACATGTCAAGCCCTGCTGGAAAACTTGGTTCGGCTGTTTTCGTAAAATTATCAGAGCTGGTACATCTGCGCACACTGTGTCTGCATCGTGTCCAACAGGAGCTAGAACTGTATAATGGAAAAGAATGGGAATAAAATACGGGGAAGTAGAATATCCATTGCATTGTTGCACCGACGATAACTCCAGGCTGGTTAACCCCAGAACAGAAGAATCAGAATCGTTGTGCAGAACTACCGACGAGTTTCGGTGTAAAATAGGCCTAAGTGTCAGCGTTTTAGTTCTTCGCACGTCTGTTCTAATTCTCTCAATGCCGAGATTGTCGTTCCGTGGACCACAGTGCTCAGTAACAAGGGTATGAAAATTTCCCATCATGCTCGTTGTTTGGGAAGCACCGGCAAAGAATCCCGCACGAGTCACAAAAAATTCGTCGCATCGTCGTTAAGTCCCCTGCCAAGGTAAGCTCAAGTATAGCATTTTCTTCTTTTTTCAGACCCACCCGTTTCAAATTCGGTTTGGTATTTCAGGTATGCCACAAGGAAAATCTGGGGGTAAATATTGTTTCTCCTCTAGTATTTTACTGGAATTAGTCTCGCAAACTCCAAGCGCCGGGTACTTTCCAAATCAGAGCAGAGATCTGGATTCATCCCCATCGTGCTCCACCCAGCCTTGCAAAGCCTTGTAACCTGTTACTTTTGTGTGCTGTAGGCTGGTGTCAGCCGCTTCCTTCCAAATATGTCGAATATCCAATCTGGTGCTGTTTCTGGTATGTATTCCAGGTTATCGAAACAGTTTCTCGTACTCTTCTGAGGGTTACGATGATACTCTACGGTGGATGTTGGTAGGCACTCGACATCGTAGAGGTTGGCTCAGAGAAGCAACGTTCAAGGTCAATCCTTCTGAAGACGTAGCTACACCTACGACGGCTATGCACTTCGCCACCAAACTCACAAATACATGACTAAGGTAGACCAGCCGCGTAAACCACACTCAATCTACCAAGGCTCGACAATTACCTGACTCGATTAGTTTAACTGGAAAATTCGCATGTACTTGTTCTTGCAGGGATTATTCCTACCAAACTCAGTGCTTTACATGTCAAATCATTGGATTCTTTTCCATTTACATGGTGCTCAAAAACTAGACTCATCCTCTTGTTTTTAGCAAACGGTGACGAACCACGAATGTAGAGAGAACGACAGAACTCGAAGCGAATTACGGTAATAGGCACAAGGGATGCCGTACTTCCCTGTCATGTGCCTGTTCTAGATTCTAAAGGCTCAATTCTAACAGCGAAGAATGAAGTGGATTTAGAGCCACATGCTCGTCCAAAACATCCCTTTCAGTTGTCTTATCTGTGGCACCTGGGTCATGATCCTTCTCCATCCCTGTTTTCCCGCATGACAAGGCAGCAACCTCCAATGTTTTCACTTTTCTAACCACGTAAGCCCGTCGAGGAAATTTTTCTTGTCTAATTTCTGTACGAGTTATCTGGTTTTGAATGAAAGTGTGAAAATGCATAAAGGAAATTCACTTCAGGGTTCAAGATATAACCTCATATTTCGCAAGATCGCGACAAATGCGTTTGCCCTTAAAGTTGAGCAGTGTTGGAAGCTTCCTCAAGCTGTTCATCATCAAGCGGTATTTGTGTAGAGCATTCTGGGCATCCCGCAGAACTCTCCAGTTCCAATAAGCTCTCAAGATTCTCTTCATTTCGGCGTTTATGGGCTGCATGAATTTATATGAGAACAAAGGAACACTAGCACATGTTCTGTTTCGGAAGGAATTCTTTTCCGAAAGAAAATGCTCAAATAGAGATCACCTCTGCATGATCTTCTTCGATGTTCAAACAGTTGAGGGTGGTGGTCAAACTTACCATCTTCAGCAATGAAGTTACCGTCATTCCACATTTTCGACAAGGACTGGATGATGGTACCGTTCGGAAGCATTTGTCCGATGCAAACAGTGACGGCCCTTGAATTGACAACGGTCGATTCATTCCACACATGAACCGTTTTGGTGAGTCGAGACTGGACGAAATGGGTGAATACTTTCGGAAATTTCCCAAAGTTTTGTGGGCAACCTCCGTGAATATCACTGTTAACTATAGTCCACACATCTGGATTCCACCTGCGATGGAGCAGCTGTTGCGCTGGGGTTAATTTCCCT